CTATGTCTCCCTAGAATCCCTAGCTATGGGGCGTGTGTCTGGGCTGTTGCCTCTTCATGACCCAGATCCTACTAGTGTGATTGCGGCCTACTGCCTTCTCAGTATGGACCATGAGTGCCTCAGTATGTGTTGAATGGATGGAAAGACTGTAAAGCATGTCCTGACATAGGACTCTTTCTCTTTCTCATGATATACACTCATATTTCTTTTTACAGTTATATTTATTTATATTGAGACTGGGCCTCACTGTGTAGCCCTGGCTGTCCTGGAGCTCACCATGTAGACCAGGCTCTCCTGGAATCCACAGAGATCCACCTGCCTGTGCCTCTGTGTCCTGGGATTAAAGCCACACACCACTGTGCCTGGCTTACAATTACTTACTAATATTGTTAGTATCATTTGCAGCTTGAGGGCATTGTGTATGCTAGTCAAGTGTTCTACCACTGAGTCACACCCCAGCCCCTACTTTTGTTATTCTACTGTGGAAATATATAACATGAATACATCATTTTAGCCATGTTGATTTAGAGTGGCATTGATTATATATTATAGTGTTGTGTGACTATGTGACATGAATACATCATTTTAGCCGTGGTGATTTAGAATGACATTGATTATATATTATAGTGTTGTATGACTATGGCCACCACCTGTTTTTTAAACTTTTCTGTCACCTGTTGCACTTTTTTCCTCTGAAGTTGCCTCTTGGCATTTGTAAGATGTCCTTGCTCTCATCCCTATCATGAGACCAAGCCTGACAGTGGTCACCCACCCTTGAGCCTGCTTTGCAGTATAATAGACGTCAACCTCATCTTTTCTGTTCTTTTGCCTCCAGAGTCTTAATGGGTTTGCTCTCCTCCCATTTGCTGCATGTCAAGAGGAAAATATAAGAAAAAAACCAAGAGGAGGGTCATGAAAGACTGCCCATGACCAGATAGATGATTAGCACTCAGAAAGACTTTCACTGTGGCACAAGGATTCACTGAATCCAAAGCACAAAGTGGCCTTCAGAGAGAGAAGTTTGTTCCTTCCTTGAATCAGTACTCAGGTGTGGCCTGTGCATCCAAGCCCTTCCTAGAACTCGGGGGTGTAGAGTTCAGCCTGTCAATGTTCCCTTATACTCAGGAATCAGCTGGGGCAGCTTGGCATAGAGGTCTCAGTAAAACCACAGCACACGGGCTTCGAACCATCACGAAGCAGCATAGTATGTGAGGGCAGAATAGCCATGAGCAGCAAGCATGGCTGGCTGCATAGGAGGGTTGAAGAAGCTGGAGTCCCAGGGCAGGCAGGGCTTCAAGGCCAGTCTGGATAGGAGCTGGCTGAGCACAGCACACATGGGCACCGAGGTATGGAAAGGCCTAGGCCTCGGTTTGATGGGATATGGGACTCAGGCCTGACAGTCTCTTTGGGGGCAGTTCCGTCGGACAGCACTGCATCGGGCCTCCCTGGAGGGACACACGGAGATCCTGGAGAAACTTCTGGAGAATGGGGCCACCGTGGACTTCCAGGATCGGGTGAGAGGGCAGGTATTGGGTGGGAGGTAAGAGATGGATCTAGTCTATAGAATTCTACTTCCTGTCAAATCCGTGATAGTGGGCTGCCAGGGGGCTGCTGGGGGTTGGGGGGACAGGCCCTACCTCTGTGTGTTCTGTGACATCCAATGAGCCCCATCACCCCCTGAGTTGTCTCTGGGACTCTCACTTGGACTAGTTGGGCCTGGTCTGTCTGTCCTACTCCCTGTTCCTGTTTGTTTGTTTGTCCCTCCGCCTTCTTGACTTCAATCCTTTCTCTAAGGAACGTCTTCCCCTTCAGTTCTCCCATTAACTCTCATCTATCCCTGCTAGCTGGACTGCACAGCCATGCACTGGGCCTGCCGTGGAGGCCACCTGGAGGTGGTGAGACTCCTGCAAAGCCGGGGGGCCGACACCAACGTGAGAGACAAGGTGAAGCAGTGCTTCAGTTCACCTTGGGTTGCGTAGGGAGGATGGGGGGGCAGCCAATAGCAAGGTAGTGGGCTAGCCTGGTCTCTAGAGTGGCTGCAGAGAAACTTTAGGCCCCCCAGGGAGCTTGGGAGTAGCAAGTGCTGAGAGGAGACAAAGACAATATTCTCCAGGAGATGTGGTCCACTGAGAAGATGCAGGGTTTGTGCATCCGTGGCATCTGCCATCCTTCATCATCCACCCGCCTGTCCATCAATTTATTCATTTACTTATTAATCTATTATCTTCTATCCATCCATCTCTTCACACGTAACCATGAACAACTACCTTGGCCTCTGAGGCACCGCTTATCAGCCGTAAAGCTTGTGGAGTTCTTATGTGGGTTAGGAGGAAAATGTGTGTAAATGAATTACTTTCTAACATAAGAAGCTTTTGCCGTATCTATCACAGTCATTTCTCGATTAATGGCATCTGATATAATTATTCGAGGAAACTGGAGCTGGATGCCAGTGGTGGCGCACGCCTTTAATCCCAGCACCCGGGGGGCAGAGACAGGAAGATCTCTAAGTTCAAGGCCAGCCTGGTCTACAGAGTGAGTTCCAGGACAGCCAGAGCTATAAAGAGAAACCTTGTCTCAAAAAAACAAAAAACAAAGAAAGAAAGAAAGAAAGAAAGAAAGAAAGAAAGAAAGAAAGAAAGAAAGAAAGAAAGAAAGTGGGTTGAGGGCGGTGTGTGACTCCATGGTAGCAAACTTGCTTAGCATGTGCAAGACAATGGGCTTAATCTCCAGTGTTCCAATGAATAAACATGTCAATTGATTAACGAGAACCTAGGTCAGATAGTACACCTCTGCACTTGGGAGGCAGAGGTAAGAGAATTAAGAGTTTGCAACTACCTGGACTACATAGTGAGACCCTGGCTTTTTACAAAGGTAGAGGAGTGGTCAGTAGCTCACTGCCGGGCAAGAGGGGAACTACAGTAGGCTAGCCAGAGGAGGTGGCACTTAGAACTCTACAATTAGGCAACTGGGAAGGATAGTGGCATGTCATACCATTCTCTCCTGTCCAAGTCTCAGGCCTTGGCACTCAGACTTGGGAGTACAATTAATCTGGAGATGAGATAGCTCCTCCACCCCAGGATGCAGGCCCGTGTGCCAACAGCCCTGTTTCCTCCCCACACAGCTACTGAGCACTCCTCTGCATGTGGCCGTCCGGACTGGACATGTGGAGATTGTGGAACACTTTCTCTCTCTGGGCTTGGATATCAATGCCAAAGACAGAGTGAGTCCTTGCTTGCTCCTCTGCTTAGCCAATCTGGGTGTAAGGGCAGCCTGCCAGGATGCCAAGGGCGAGTAGTCCTTCCATACAGGACCCTAGGGTGCTGCTTCTGAGCAAGGCCTCTAGCCCATCTCCTGTCACCATAACCACCCACTGACCTCACGGGTTCCCCTGTGTGCTACACCAATTCTAGGAAGGGGACAGTGCCCTACATGATGCTGTGAGACTCAATCGCTATAAAATCATCAAACTGCTGCTCTTGCATGGGGCGGACATGATGGCTAAGAACCTGGTGAGTCTGTTCCTCTGGCTTGGTGGTAGGGTGAGCCCTTGCATGGTGGACGGTCAGCAGAGGCCATGGGGCAGCCACAGCCTAGGTACACATGTCCTTGGCTCTTGGCCACACCACCCTAATCTCCTGCCTTCTCAGGTCTCTCTTCATGTGTCAAGGTCCCGAGCGTAAGTTTGGAGAAACAATAAGAGAGTTAGTGAGAGGACTTCCCCAGGGTCCTCAGATAGGGCGAAGAGGATCCCAGCGTTCAGGCCCAGTCAATGGAGGGCCAATGGGAAGGGAGTCAGATTACTTGGTTGGTGTGACCATTCTAGCACCTCATGTCGGTGAGTGTCAGATTTTCTGTGAGTAGATGTCCTCTGGCCCAAGCCTATCTATTAGTCCACAGAACAATCACAGGAGAGGGGCATGGAACATTCTGGCACAAGAAAGCCTAAGGGAACATTGAGGGAAACAGGAGCATATGGAGAGAGTGTGGATGGTCTTAGTTTTGCAGACACTGGGGCTGGACAATTCATAATAAAGGGACTTTCCTGTGCACCGTCCCAGCCTCCCAGGCCTCTGTCCACTAGATACCAGTAGTACCCATAACCTCTAGTTGTGAAATGCAAGATGGCTTTGCCCCTGGGCATTTGCCTCTAGTTGAGAACCACCGACGTAACTGAAGGCATTTCCGGGTGGGCTGCTCAAGTCTGAGTAGGCCTGCTTCTATTTTCTCCAGGCAGGAAAGACCCCCACGGACCTGGTCCAGCTATGGCAAGCAGACACCCGGCATGCCCTGGAGCACCCTGAGCCAGAATCAGAGCAGAACGGACTGGAGAGGCCTGGGAGTGGCCGTGAGACACCCCAGCCTGTACCAGCCCAGTAAATACCTACCCAGAGCTGGGCACCCAACCCTTACCATGAGCTGCCTGCAGCCAGTCTAGCAGGAATACCCCCACATTCAACACAATAAAGTGCTGGCTTTGCTATTTGTGGCGTTTGTGTTCATTCGTGCTCCAAACACTTAAGAACAAAGATTGGGTGTTAAGAGTGAACTTGGGAACGAGGGGAATGTGTAGTCCCTTGAGTCCTGAGTTAGTGGGTCTCCCTACGCTGGTCTGGCCTTGTTTTGTCCCTATCGTCCTGCTTTTCTCTCCTAATCCCTAGGGCCGGGGTTGAAATATATTTCACTCTGACATGCTTATCCTCTGCTCCCTGTCTCCAAGACTGTTCCATGGAGCTGTGTGTCTGCGTGTGGCCAGCAGAGGGCTAACACGCAGCGGCCCTTGGCAGAAGCTCAATAGACGAGAGGAGTGGTTTTTCACAACTTCTGGAACAGCGAGCGGGTGGCTATAGAAGGGCGGGGCCAGGCCAGCTCAGCCAATTAGCTCCGTCACGTTCAGCCAGCCTAGAAACGGAGGGTGTGCGCGTTGGGGTGGGGGTGAGGGTGAGCGTGTGGGTAGGTGGCTCCTGGCTCTGGGGCTGTGTGAAGAGGACCCTGTAGGAGACGGTTTTTAGTGTTGAAACCGCAGGAGCCAGCTCTCTTTCAGGCCATAATTGTGGCATTTCTCCAGCTGCTTCCCAGTAGGGAAGAAAGCCTGCCTGGAGACTCTAGGCCCGCCTCTGACCCTGGGACACCCAGTGCAAAGCTGCAGGCTCCCGTGCCACGCCCACACGTTGTGGTGGGAACACAAATTTTTAACTGGCTATGTAGATCATTAACAGTGGGGGAAAAGGAGTCCAAACTCAGTTCCCCTGTGGTCACAGACAGCTGGGGCTCAGACCTCCTGAAGAAATGCTGGGCCCTCAAATCTGGGCCTCCATGAGGCAGGGGCTGAGCAGGGGCTTGTCTAGGAATGTGAAGGGGAAGAAGGTAGACATTGCCGGCATCTACCCACCCGTGACCACCCCATTCACCGCCACCGCAGAGGTAGACTATGGGAAACTGGAAGAGAACCTGAACAGACTGGGCACCTTCCCCTTTCGAGGTAAGAGGGCGGTTGGGGAGCCAGATCCAGGAAGGGGGGTGGGGCAGAGCTCTGGCACTTTGGACAGAGCCTCACCTGCCTTTGTTTCCCCAGCTGGGAAGCGCCAAGGTGCTTTCTTTGCTCCCGGTGTTATTGTGGTGGAAGCATGGAGCAGTGAATGAGGACATCCTTATCTACCAGGCCCGCTGATGGGAAGGCACTAGTCAGGTCACACAGCAGGGTAGCCTTTTGCCTCCTTCCCCCTGAGCCTGCCTGACAGAACTACTTCTCAATGTGCTGGATCCTCTGATGCATCTTTTGTTTTAACATAGGTCCTCTCTCTGAGGCCACAGACCAGATCCTATTTGTGAGACTCAGTCTACCTCACAGCCACAGGTCCATAAAAGAAGGTAGAAAAGGGCAGTCCCCTGCCCAGCTCCATCCCATTCCACCCACCCAGGACAATTCCTGGTCAGTGCTGTCAATGACACCATCTCGGAGATGGGAATGTGGGCTCCCAGAGATGTGGTCACTGTCTGAGGCCACTCAGCTAACAAATAGCCGAGCTGAGACTTGAACTGCTGATTCGAAGCTCTATTCTGCCCATTGATTCTAACACCAAGTTGCAGGTTCTATCTAAGACTATCCCTACAAATGTCCTTTGGTGGGCACCAGTTTCGAGAATGGCCTGGCCTCACTCTGACTGAGAAGGCTAGCAGCTAGGATAGTGGACTCTAGTTTCCAATCACAGCTCTGCCAGTGGTTTTACTCCATGGGATACTCTAACCCTGTTTCCCATATGACACACGGGAGTGATACTACTCTATCGTGGAGTAGCCTGAAGAAGAATCTGGAAGAATGAGAGGAGAAAGCATGGTATAAATTCTGGAGTGCTATACATCAGAAGGTATAGACTCTTGGGGTGATAATTATTAAAAGTACACATGGCATTTGTGAATTCTCAGACCCTGGGAGAACTGGCTGAAGTATCTATTTAACATATCAAAGTGGACCTGGTTGCCAGGTTTCCCAGCATCCTTCAGTCCCTATCTGTTACAGGATATGGCTGGCATAGCCCACCCTCTGGTCCCCCCATCCCCAACTTTCCAGCCCGGGGGCTGGGCTGTCCTATCCGAAAGGCTCTTCCCTATATAGTGCAGCCATTTTGGCTACCCACCCTTTCTTTTACATCTTGGCCTCTGTACCTGGTTCCCTTCTCTCCCTCATCTCCCTTTCCCTTGATACTCTCTTCAGTGGCTCAGGGTCATGCTCCCTCTGGACTCTCCCAGATGTTTCTACCTCTAGCTATGCTCTTTTTTATTTATTTATTTATTTTTTCATTCAACACTGTAGCAAAGCTGCTTTATGCTTGGTGACAGTGTCCACTGGCCCAGCTGAGCCCGCTTCATAGCTTAGTACCTAGATGATAAGTGTTTGTCAAGGAACAAGTGGCCTATGGGTGCGCATTCTGAGCAGGGACAGCAGAACTTGCCTATGCTGGCCTGCAGAGAGATGAGGCCTGAAGTGAAGCATGATAATCCTTAGTTTCAAATAGAACACTCTGCTTCAGCTTAAGGGTCAAGGACACAATAGTGTAGGGACCAGAAGACTGGCTTTTTGTATCCATTGTGTTTCTGAAATCTTGTATCTAGGATTTCACAGAGACTCCCAGAATTGTCTTTAGACTTCCCCTTTGTCTCTCCTGCAACCAGCGTAGGGTGCCTTGGGCTTGTTTGTTTGTTTGTTTGTTTGTTGGTAGAGGGAGGGATTTGGCTGATGTTGTGTGATTCCTCCATTCACCACATAGCAGGAGATTGGGGCTATGGGAGGAAGAGCCCAATGCCTGGACTTGGAAGACTCCTCGTCTGGTTATTATAGGAACTGAGAAATCACAGTCCCTCTGTAATCCAATTTCCTCACTTGAGAACAGGAGCTAAGCCCTTGGGCTTTTAGTCATATGGCTCAATATAACTTCCTCAAGATGATCAGCCTTGTTGCTGGCACAGAGGACTTAAGAGTCAGGGTTATCTTGTCTCGGTTTTAGTATTTAGCCAAACATTGATGTTTCTCTTACTTTCTGGAATAGACTTTGCAGTCTAATACTCAGAAGGTAGAGACAAATGCTACTGCTACTTTGTATCAGCGTGGGTAACAAGGCCTCCAAAGAAGAGGTGGGAACCTACTCTTAGTGCTTCAGTGAACACAGAGAATCTTCCTGAAGGCTTAGTCTGAGGCTGTGAAGTTGTTTGTTTGTTTTGATTTGATTTTTTGAGACAGGGTTTCTCTGTGTAGCCCTGGTTGTCCTGGAATTCCCTCTGTAGACCAGGTTGACCTCAAACTCAGAGATCTCTGCCTCTGCCTCCCCAGTGCTGTTAAAGTATTGCTAATTTGTGCTGATTGTTTGAATGAAGAGTATTCTTTTAAAATAAAAGTTAAGGGCGAGATGGCACATTGAGTAATGGCTCTTACTGTCAAGCGCTGAGTTAAGTCCAATCTCCAGAGTCTACATAAGGTGGAAGGGGAGAATTAGCTTCCGCAAGTCATCCTCTGACCTCCACATGCATGCCGCGATACAAGTGTCTCTCCCCACTCCCAAATAAATAAATGTAAAAAATCTTTTGTTGGGACAGATTAGCTAATATTTTATCAAATGCGTAAAAAAACACAATAATTAATAAAAGGAGCATGCAAAACCATTAGCCTCTGTTTATAGAAAATACATGTCAGTTCTGGATCACAATTGTTCCATTGAATGACAAAAAAAAAAAAAACAAATCATAAGGAAGAATTTAAAAGCTATGCAGTGGCTGCTTTTAGTGTCAGCTACAACAGACCAACAACCCCCATTAGCTATTTTGGAAAGCGAAAGTGGGCCTAAATTTGTAGATAAGGAATGTCTCCAGTAGTTAAGAAAATGATAAACTCTGCAAAAGTTTGCCAGTCTTATACAGAAGCAGCTCTTTGAGACCAAAAAAGCAGGAAATGGTGTCAGCACCACAGTGCGCATAGTCCACCCTTCTGTTTTCCTGTCTTGTTCAGGATGCAGACTTACTGCTGTGCCCAGTTATAAAAATGGACCTTGAGTAAAGGTTTCTACAGTCTTAAGCTTTAAAAAAAGATTAAGGGGCTGGAGAGATGGCTCAGCAGTTAAGAGCACTGACTGCTCTTCCAGTGGTCCTGAGTTCAATTCTCAGCAACCACATGGTGGCTCACAACCATCTGTAATGGGATCTGATGCCCCCTTCTGGTGTCTGAAGACAGCCACAGTGTACTCACATACATAATAGGCAAATACATGAATAAATAAATCCTTAAAAAATTTAAATAAAATAAAAGTTCTAACCAAATATGGTGTCCCTAATCCAGACTTGAGCAATGACAATATCGATAAACTAGGAAGGGGGAAGTCTCATGGGGTTCCATCCTCTAGACAGAGAATGATGGTTAACTACTGACTGCCAAGAGAAGGAGAATTAGCCTCTCCCAGGATGAACCCCTAATTAGTTTTCCAGTACAAAGTGGTCAACCTTGAAGTCATGTACACACGGACTCTGCAGGTTGTATTTGTGGCATGTATATCTATCTATATATCTGTACATATATGTATATCTGTGCACATATATGTAACAATAGAGAAAAAGAAGCCATCAATCTGAGGAGGGAGGGGGAAGACATGGAAAAGGTTAGAGGAAGGAAACGGAAGAAGAAAGTGATGTAATTATATTTTTATTTAAATTTTTTTTATAAAAATTAAAATTTTGGCAAGTTACAACCAAGGACCAGAGGGAAGGATTGTTCAGGAGGGCTGCTGGCCCTGGACTTACACCTGTCAATAGCCTCACAGGTGAACTTTGAGTTGTTATTTCCAGTGAGGTCAGTGGACAATTGCAGAGCTATTTCAGCAAGGCTGGAGAGGTGAGGTCCCCAAAGCTTTTAACTGTGCCTTATTCCTTCCCCACACAGAGCAGACCATGGTTTCTTCTGAAAGAGAAACCATTTTTGTATATATAAAAAGTATTACTTGGTTAAAGAAAATGTTTCAAATAACAGTTTTTTGAGGCAGGTAAGGGGTTGAGACATAGACTCTCTACATAGTCCGGACTACATAGTTCTAGAATTCACTTTGCAGACTCAGCTGGCTTTGAACCCACAGAGATCTGTCTACCCCTGCCTTCTGAACACTGGGATTAAAGGTGTGTACCACCACATCTGGCAACAACTTCTAAAGTATATTTTCTTTTTAATTTTGTCTAGGTGTGTGTCTGCATATGAGCGTGGGCATGTGAATACAGGCATCAGATAAAGCCAGAGGTGTCAGGTCCATTGGAGCTGGAGGTTCAGAGGACTGAGCTGCCTGACTTGAGTGCTGGGAATGGAACTCAGGTCCTCTAGAACAGCTCTGGAGCTATCTTTCCAGCCTCTCAGATAGCACAACTTTTTTTTTTTTTTGCCAGTGGCTGGTGACACTGCCTTTAATCCAGCACTTGGGAGACAGAGTTAGGTGGCTTTCTATGAGTTTGAGGCTAGCCTGTCTACAGAGTGAGTTCCAGGACAACCAAGGCTACACAGAGAACCCTATTTAGAAAAACAATGAAAAATGTAGTTATGTATATGCGGTCTCTACATGAATGCTTGCATGTCAGAAGATGACATCAGATCCCATAGTAGATAAACTGTGAGTTGCCATGTGGTTGCTGGGAATTGAACTTAAGACCTCTTTGTAAGTGTTCTTAACTGCTGATCTATTTTTCCAGCTACAAACAACACAGCTTCTCCAAGGGACATTTGGCATTTCCTAGGTGTGCTACTTGCCTTGAGGGAAATAGTAGCACAGGAAGGCCTGTATACATACATAAGAGTTATTCAAGATTGTACAGGCATCCGTGGCAAGCCTGACTAGCCAGGCCACCTGCTCAAAACTTTGTCATGCTTATTTACTAGGGGACAAATTCTGTATCTGCAGGCTATCACTCAGACAAAATGTAGCTTACCCTGAGATAGCCCTGAAGTCTGTCCTGCCT